GGGTGTGGGTGTGTGTGGGTGTGTGTGGGTGTGTGTAGGGGGTGTGGGGTGTGGGTGTGGATGTGTTTACGCTCACATGCTTCATGAATATGACAAAATGTTGGTGGAAAAGCATGGGCTTTGAAACTAGAAAAAAACCCACGTTCAATCCCGTCTCAGGCATTTGGTCTCTGTGAGACCTGGGACATCATTCAGCTTCCTTTCCTCACCTTGAAATTAGAGGTGATAATTCCTATCCCATAGGATTAAATGTCTTTGAATGTTTGGGAATGTCCTGTGTATATCTGGGCACTGGGTACATTTTTAGGAATGCACTGTAATATTTAAGAATATGCCACCTAAATAGTACACTTTTTTAGGCCTCAACTTTCTCAACTGGAAAGTGGGGATATTAATAACCCTACTCTATACATATTAGTGTGAGAATTCAATCAAATTGTTGTTTACTAGCATGGTGCTTTCAACACAACATGTATTCCATAAATTATACCTATTCCTGCATTTCCATGCATTTCTTTATTCTTTTTCCTATGTATGTACTCTCTGAAGGACAACATTGCAACCTTATTTTTCATAGTCAACATTATGAGACTCATTTTCATTGCTTTTGTATCCATTTTTATTTTTTATCACTGTATAGTATTCCATTGTGTAAACATAGAAGATGTGTTTATCTTTTTTCCTGTTAGATTTTTTTGCTATTACAAATAGTGCTGATGTGAACATTATACATGCCTCTTTGAGCACACGTGTAAGTTTCCCTCTTCATCTATCCACTCTGTCATCTTGTGAATTTCAGTTTGCCCTGGGCTAACTACCCTTAGGGTCCAAACATGGCCACTCCAGTCCCAGGCATCAAAGGCAGACATGACAAGGTCTGGTAGAAGCAAGAAGGCTACTTCTTCCTGACCCTCTCCCTTTCATCACCAAAGATTCTCGTCCTCCATCAATCTTCACTTGTTTTCTCATTGGTCAGAACTGGATCACATGACCACCTTCAAGCCAGTCATTGGCTTAGGTTAATCAGGATTAACCTAATGATTAACCCTGATGATCTAACATGGCTGCACCAGGAAGAAAAGCTATCTGAGAAAAAAAACTACAACAAAAAAATAGAGGAGATTATATGTCAGATAGATCACTGTTCTGGTTACTATACTGTGTAACAAACAACCTCAACACTCAGTGGCATAAAACAATCATTTTTTTTATAGATTTACATGAGTCAAGAAATTGGGCAAAAAACAAAAGTGAGTCCAACTTGTCTGAGGTCTCAGCTAGGAATCTCAGACTGAGGTGACTGGGTAGCAGGGACTGCAGTCACCTGGAGGTACCCTCACCTGTCGGGAGGTAGACACAGGCAGTAAGCTGGATCTCATCTATATATGGACCCTCCACATGGTCTAGAGTATTTCTTCCCCTTGCTGCTATAAGAAATTACCAAAACCTTCGTAGCTTGAAAAACACAAATGTGTTATTTTATGATTCTCTAGGATGGCAGTCCAGGGCCTCCTTAGCTAACTTCAGGGTGCCAGCAGGTCTGCATTCCCTTCCAAAGGCTCCAGGAGAGAATCTGTCTCCCTGGATTTTCCAGTTTCCAGGTGTCAGCTGCTGTCCTTGACTTGAGCCTCCTCCCTTCATCTGCAAAGTGAGTAGCAATGGGCCTAGTCTATCCTGACAGCCATCTCTCAGGTTCTCCACTTCTGCCTCTCTCTTCCACCCTGTGACTACGTTAGCCTACCAGACAACTCAGAATCATCTTCTTCCCTCAGAGTCAGCTGATTAGCAACTTTCCTTCCATCTGCAATTTAACCCCCCTTTGCCATGTAACGTAACATACAGGTTCCATAACATATGAAGACTGTCCGGAGACTAGGATATGAGCTTCTAAGGGAGCTGTTTTTCTGCCTGCCATAATGGGATAAAGAATAGGCGGTGGCTGGACCCTCATCCTTGCCCTTGCCCCCATCTTGTTCTAATGAATAGATAGAGAAGGCCCTAAATTGAAGGGTCTCCCCGCAGTACGATGTCAGAGTGCTGGACACTGTCCCTAGAGTCTGATCTTGCCTTCCTTCCTCTAGCCCGTGCTTTTCTCCAGGTGCACCAGCTTCTCCAAACCTCCACTGCACAATCTCTACCTGCTGAGAGGAAACCCTCCTCCCTGCTCGCAGATGTAGGACTTGCATCGGACTTCTCACCCTCCCGCAGCAGTGCAGCTTCAGGAGCTTCAGTTCTGGGGTGGTTAGCACCGCCGTCATCCCAGCAGGGCAGTGAAGGGTGCCCTGTGCTCTAGCTCTTCCAGGCTTCCAGGCCAGTCCAGAGTGAGTGTGGCTGCTCCAAGTCCAATCCTCTTCAAGACCTGCCCCCTCTCTGGATGATGATGGATGCATTTTCACATAATTGCTAGGAAACAGTTGTTGAATCTTACACGTGTGTATACACACTCACACACACACACACACACACACAATTTATTCTGAAGCCAAAACCAGAAGTCACTAACTCAGCGCTCACAGAATCAGACAGGTGACGCACATCAGTGAAGCATCCTGAGAGACTGGATAAGGGGCATTAAGGAGCATCGAGGTTTATGGCAAACTGAAGCACCTGCCTTTCCCAAAGGGAGGTGAGTACTAAGCTGCCTGTCACCAGTGTTAAGATGTGAACCCAGTACTGCCACATAGTTTATTCAGTTTTTCTTTTAAAAACTTAGACGGGCGTGGTGGCACACGCCAGTACTCCCAGCACTCGGGAGGCTGAGGCAGGAGGATCTTTGCAAGTCTGAGACCAACCTGGGCTACAAAGTAAGCTCAAGTCTAGCCTGAACTGCACAACAAAATCCTGTCTCCAAAAGACCAAACAAATAAAATAAAATAAAAAATTAAAAATGGCAGCCAGATTTTTATGTGAAATACTTCTTTTTTTCTTTTTTTTTTTTTTCTTTTTTTTAAAGAGAGGGTCTTGCTGGCCTTGAACTCACTCTGTAGCTGAGGCTGGCCTCGAACTTGCAGCAATCCTCCTGCCTCAGCCTCCAAAATGTTGGGATTACAGGCAAGAGCCTCCACACATGGCTCAGTTCTTAAATAATTCTTGCTCATTCCTCCCCTAGACTACACCAGCACTGGGACAGAAGAACCCAGGGCCTCCACACTGAGCTATGCCTCCAGCCTGTTTTCATGTTTTACTTTGAGACAGGATCTCACAAAGTTTCCCAAACAGGACTCGAATTTGTGATCCCCTGCCTCAACCTCCCAAAGTGCTGGAATTATAAGCATGTACCCCTGTGTCTGGCTACTAATTCCAATTTTTAAAAACCCTGGCATGGTATGTCCACCAGCCACCAGCAAAACATGTCCAAATTCTGACCAGAGGTTGACATTTTATAACTTCTGATCCAAACCCACATAGTGATAGAGAAATGCATTCTCCATCATTCCTCAGTCTACAAGGCTGCCCCTTGCACCACATAGTTGGTACATAATTATAAAGAACAGCTTGTTCCTTTCTTCAGCTCTTCCCTGGCCCTCCTTCTAGAAGGAGTGTTCTTCCAGACTTTGGGACGCCGAGGATGCCAATGCCAGGTAGCATATTTTTTAAATTGAACTTTGACTTGTAGTACTAATATATTTCTACTATACAAATAAGTCATAACAATGAGAATATATGGTAAAAGAATATATATAATGTACTTATCTGTGAAGTACTTACCAGTGAAGCTGCCTGCAGCTTCGCATGATAGGAATCCTTATAAGAACATTCTTTAACAAGATGTCTAGAGGTAGGCAATTTAGGGTTGATTCATCATCCCTCCCATATCAGGACATTGGGTCTGCATCTCCAGAATTCTCCAGGCATTTCCCTCATGGCTGGAATGACCGCCACATTCTTAGACTGTATCCCAAGCAAGAAGAAAAGGGAAACATCAGGCAGTATTTGTCAAGGTGAAAACCATTTGCTAATAAATTTCCCTTCATCTAGCTACAAGGGATACTATAGCAAAAAGGAAAGAGATTGCCACACCTGCCCTGGGCCAGTTATGATTCACCACTTTGGAGCTCCAAACAAGATGCTGCTGTGAGCAGGGCCAAGTAGGTGAGGGTCAGTGGATGGGTGATCGCAGTGTCTGCCGCAGCCCCGTCCCACTCCACTCCCAGGCCACACCCACCCTGAGTAGTGTGGGGTTTATCCTTATGGCGTTTTTCAACCCACCTCCCTATACACTGTGGCAGATGTTTAGCTTTTTTCTTTTCTTTTTTCTCTTATTTCCTACCAAATTATGAGAACTACAATTTTGTTGTTCTCTTCTCTGGGGAATCAAGAATAAACCCTGATTGATTTAAGCCAGAGACTGATTTAAAAGAGGAACCTACAAGCCAGCTCTGGCCAAAGAAGTGCGAAGGAAAATTGGCTGGAGGGTTCCAGGAAAAGTTTCTTTGCTCTTAAAAAAAGAGTTGAAAATAAAAAACAGAAAGCTGCAGCTGGAAGACACAGTCCTTTTTCTTCAGCTGGTGACTGGAATGTATAAACGTGGTGCTGGAATGGTAGCCACCATCTTGCAGTTAGGACAGGATCTAGTCACAGGATGGCAAATTACAGGACAGGATGTAGCTGAGCCCTCGATAAGGAAGTCAAGCCCCTGAGCTAACCAACCTCAAGGCTACCCTGCCTCTAGACTTATTGTTAGGTAAAATAATATGTCTCAGTGTTTGATCAAGTGATAAAACACAATGTATCAAGATTCATGAGATGCATCTAAAGCAGTGCTTAGAGGGCAATTTAGCTTTAAATGCTTATATTAGAAAAGAGGAAAAATCTCAAATAAATGATCTATGTTTCTGTCTTTTTTTTCTTTTTGAGACAGGGTTTTGCTATGTGGTTCAGGCTGCCCTTGAACTCACTTTGTGGCCCACTCACTTTGTGTTTGATAGTTTTATGTGTCAAGGTCAAAAATCACCCGTCTGAGGGTTGTTTGGTTTTTTTCACATAAGTGTAGCTATAGTCACATCCATTAGAATTGAATTCATTCGCAAGGAATGAAACCCAAAATAGCAGTGATAAAAACAAGACAGAAGCATATTTCTTTTTTTGAGGGGGCGGGTTTCTGGTACCAGGAATCGAACTCACAACCTTGCACTTGCCAGGCAGGCGCTGTGCCACTGAGCTAAATCCCCAGCCCCTTGAAGCGTATTTCTTTACCATATACAAGTGCAGAAGCAGGCAGTCCAGGGTTGGCATGACATTCTATGGGGCTGGGTCCCCGGCTCCTTTGACATTGTGTTCCACAGCCTTCGATACAATGTGCTGTTCAGGCCACAGCCATCACAGCCACATTCCAGCCCACAGGAAGTGAAAAGGAACAACTAAGGCACAACCTTTCTGAAAATTCACTCACCACCTCTGCTTACATCTCACTGGCTTTCCGAGTCCAGGAAATGTGCTTTATTCTAAACAGCCATGTGCCAGCTCAGAATAGACACTGGGGGGCAGCACACAATCTCTGTACAATATTCTGCATATACTAGCTATAATTTGCTTTTTTTATTGAATGTATCCTAGTTTCCTATTCTTACCAGAATATATAAGTTCACCATATTATTTTGAGTTATTTTGTGCTTTTTGTCTAGCTACCTAAGATAGATACAAGGCCAAGCATGGTGGCACATGCCTGTAATCCTAGCACTGGGGAGGCTGAAGCAGGAGTATTGCCTTGAGTTCAAGGTCATCTTGGGCCGCAAAGTGAGTTCAAGGGCAGCCTGAACCACATAGCAAAACCCTGTCTCAAAAAGAAAAAAAAGACAGAAACATAGATCATTTATTTGAGATTTTTCCTCTTTTCTAATATAAGCATTTAAAGCTAAATTGCCCTCTAAGCACTGCTTTAGATGCATCTCATGAATCTTGATACATTGTGTTTTTCATTATCATTCAGCTCAAAATACTTTCTGATTTCCCCTGTGATTTCTTCTTTTGCTCATAGCTTATTCAGAAGAGTATTGTTTGACTTCCAAGTATTTGAGGGTTTTCTACACAGGTACATCTGCAGCACTGGGGATTGAACCCAGGGCCTTTGCACTAAGCTACATTCCCAGCCCTTTTTTTACTTTCTATTTTGAAACAAGGTTCCAAGTTACTGAGTTTCCCAGGCTGGATTAGAATTTGCAATCCTCCTGCCTCAACTTCCCAGAGTGTTGGAATTACAAGCATGCACCGCCACACCCAGCTCTCCGTATCTTTTTCTGTTATTGATTTATAGTTTAACTCCATTGAAACTTTGAGACTTGCTTTATAATTCAGTATGTGATCTACCTTAGTGTGTGTTCCATGTGCACTTGAAAGGAGTAAGTATTCCACTGCTGCTGGGTGAAGTACTGTAAAATGTTGTTTAGGTCAAAGTGGTTAATAATCCTATTTAAGTCTTTCACATCTAAAAAACAAAGCCTTCCCTATCTAGATATATGTGATATATACCTACGTGTTTTAGTAGTACTAAGAAAGAAGCGTCAAGATCTCTACCTATAAATATGAGTATGTCTATTTCTCATTTTCATTTTGTTAATTTTTTCTTTACCTTGTTCTTTTTTCATGGCTGTAAAATATTCCACTTATGGATATACCATAACATATCTCACCCATTAAAGGACATCATGGCTAGTGCAGTTCTTTTGTCCTGATTAACAACATGGCAATGAACACTTTTACACACATAGGAAGAATCACCAGATTCAAATTTACCAAAGGGGCATGTACATTTTACATTTTGACAGACACTGCCAAGCTGCCTCCAAATGGCTGGGATATACTGGCTTTTATTTTTTTTTTCAGATAAATAATGCCCAATTCTCAACACCGTGATAGACACTGAATATTATCAGTCTTTTCTTTTTTGTCATTTTGTGGGGGACAGGATGAGTGAAAGAATGTTGGCAAAGAAGGTGTCTTGTTGCTTTCTTGGCTTTCCTTAATTGTCATAAAATCAAGCAATATTCCATTTAATGGCTGTGCCCCTTAGCTAACCAAAACCTCAGAGAAGCCTTGAAATTCCAACTTCTATTAAACTTTAGTCTAGACTATTCCACTCTTTATCCTCAGCCTCGGTAGAGAAATGTTCTTACTTCCAATCACCAGCACCATGTTCAGGGCAGGAAGTCTGAGATCAGCCAGATCCGGGTTTGAATCCTTCCTGCTTAGCCGTATGCAGCTCTTGTGACCTAAAGCAGATTACCTGGCCTCTCAGAAACTTCAGGCCTTCAGTTTTACAAAGAGGAGGACAAGCACTTGCACCAGCATTTTGTAGATTGAGTGTGTGAAGCACCCCAAACAGCACTCAGTGCCTAGTGGGCACTGATAATTATTATCTTTCAAATAGGAATTCATCAGACACTTGCTAGGTGGAAAGCACTGAGACAGGCTGTTTTCTTGGGTTGTTTCATTAGTCTTCACAGCAGAAAGAGATGGTACCGTTTTACATATAAGGAAAACTGAGACACCAAAGTATTCCATACCCTTTCCACAGGCACACAGTAATGAGCAGAGCTAAGGATGAAACCAGAAGTGCCTGGGCTGGGTGTGGTGGCACATGCCTATAATCCCAGCAGTCGGGAGGCTCAGACAGGCGGATTGCTGTGAGTTCGAGGCCAGCCTGGGCTACAAAGTGAGTTCAAGTCCAGCCTGAACAGCATAATGAGACCCTGTTGAAAAGAAAAGAAAAGGAAAAAGTGCCTGGCTCCTAAATAGGCCTGTTTCCCAGGGTAGCCAGCTCATTTCACAGATTAGCAAACTGAGGCCTAAGGAAATGGAATGATACATAACATTAGATGGGTAAGCAGCAGCCAGTTAATTAGCTACTTCCCCCTCTTCTAGGGCCTGGGTGTCCAGCTGGGGAAGAGCTAGAGACAGCAGAGTAAGGACAGCCACCCAGCAGAGGAGTCAAGAGCATGGAAAATGTCTCCTGCAGCCAATTTTCCTGCGGAGCCCTGCCTGCAGCTCGGGCTGGGAATGGAAAGCGTGCGGGAGGAGGAGCAGCCCGTCCATCCGGAGAAACTGTTTGCACAGTCCTGCCGGGAGAGGCCAGGGAGGGGCGGCTCCAGGAGGCAGAGGATGTGGCAGGCGCCCAGGGCTGGGCCTCCTGGGAGAAGAACAGGCGTCTGAGCTCCCTGCTTCCTCTGTGGGCTCCCTCTCTGCCAGCGCCCACTGGGCTCCACCCACTGGTCTGGGCATCAGCCGCTCGAGGAGCCCAGCCACTGGCAAGCCCGACTCTCTGGGGATGAACACTGCTGACTCAGGGAGGGCGCGGTGACCAGGCAGAAGGACTGACCCTGCTCTCAGAGCTCTTCAGGGCCGGACATTGAGAGCCATGGGCCACACCGGATGAAGCCCAGTCTCTACGACACCGGGGTGGCCTCTCTGCCCTGAAAATCTCCCTGTGCTCCTCTCTGTGCCCGACAGTCCACCCTTGTAGATGCAAGCAAGGCCTGGTGTTCAGATGCAGCCGCCACTCCAACTGTCAAATATTTCAATACAGTCCTGCCAGTCATTAGCAACCCCTGTCCCCAGTGCCCTCCAAGTCCCCTCTAGGCATAAAGGTCACGTGGATCCTCCTCAGGGACCGCCCCCCCACAGCCACAGAAGAGGTAACAGCTGGCACAGCGGGGCAGTTTGGGGCCGTGCGGATTGGATCGTCCTCAGTGGGTGACAATCAAAACCACTGTTGACACTTTCATCTCACTTCTGGAAACAACGCTTTGGCTTACAACTCATTTCCTGTTTAAAAGCAAATGGTAGAAATTTAGAACAAAAGGAGCCTTCTGCAATCTTTAAATTTTCCAGTGAGGAAACTAAGGCCCACAGGGAAGCAGAGACTTGCCCAAGTTCCCACAGCCTATCCCTGAAGAAAAGGCGTTAGGACATGGGTCCCTGGCTCCTGACACGCTCCCTGGGCATCAGCGAATCTGACCCCACAAGCACTGAACTTTCGCAGATGACAGCAGCAGGTGAAAGGGAGGAATCTGTCTCAAGGCAGAAGCTACAGCCGAGCACCTATCTCCTACACCTGCTGCCATCATCATGGCAACAGTCTCTTTGGTCACTATCTCCACAGAGATGGTTGCTGTGGCAATCACCACCCAGGGCATCAACTTCCTACACACAAGCGCCTTAAGATAAACCCAGAAGCAAAGCTACTCCACAGCCCAGACCCAGATCCGAGCTCCAAAGAGGAAAGAGACTTGTCTCACCTCTCCCAACAAGTCGGTGTTGTCGGCAAGTTCTCCGACTGCCCAGCCCAAGGCTTTCCCACTGCCGTCCCTTTCTGCCCTGACACCCCCACTTTCCTGCCTGCTTGGTGCTTCCCACATTCCTCCAGGCCTCAGTCAGGATCGCCTTCCCACGGCCTCTCACCCTTGGTGGCCTGTCAGCAGCTCATCCTCCTGGGAGCCACCGACTTGTGCTTATCGGAGGACTCATCACAGCGGGTTAAGCATTAGCTGGGGCTCCCTGAAGACCAGAAAGCCTTCACCGCCCTTTGCCCTCCACAGGAAATGATCTCCAGTAGTGGAACTTTGGGCACCACACTCAGAACTGAGGGGCCGTCTGGGGAGATCAGGCCCTGCACACAGAGCCCTGCCAGGCAGAGCTGCTGCCCTGCTGGAAGGACCTCTGGGCTGGGGACCCCACAGGCTTGGATCCCACCCCCGCTAAGCCTGGTCCCTTCTTGGCTTTTAGCATCTCCCTCATCAGCTCCAGGGTTCCATGTCCCCTCTGGAGAGATGAGACGAGAGAATTCTATTGTTCCCCACCAACCCCATCGTAAGGCTGCTGGGACCACAGGCCACCAAGCACGTTAGGATCACCATACAAGGGGTGGCCATGGCTTAAGGAACCAGCTCACCTTCCTGAGTCTCCTAGAATAAAGGAAAGGCAGGACTGGAAAGGTGTTCCACACCCAGGGAAGGCCTGGAGGGAAAATAGGAGCTTGTAAAGAACCTAGGGAACCTACGAATACTCAGTGTGTGATGAAGTGCAAGGATGGAGAGGAGCCTAGAAGCCAGGGGTGACTGAAAAAAGATCACTTAGTGGTCCCAGGGCTGAGGACAGTGCCCTATGGACCTCAGGACTCACTGCAGGACACAGCTCTGTAGGATGAAGGGTGCTTGGGGGCAAAATGACCTAGGTGCACTCCAGGGAAATCCTTCACTCATGCGTTCATTCAATGAATACGAGACATAACCCAAACTATGTGACCTCGGGCAAATTACTTAGCCTCTCCGTACCTCACCCTATGTATAAAAATAAGAACAGTGGCCAGGCATGGTGGCGTATCCCAGCACTCGGGAGGCTAAGGCAGGAGGATTGTGCTAGTTTGAGACCAGCCTGGGCTACAAAGTGAGCTCCAGGCCAGCCTGAACTGCATAGCGAGACCCTGTCTCCAAAAGACAAAAAGAAAAAGAAAAAAAGAACAGCAAAGATTCTTGCCCAAAAGGTTAGGTGAGACCTGATTAAGTGTGAAGCACAGTACATGGAAAGAAGTTGGTGCCCCGTGAATGTGGTTGTAATTACCACAGTAAGCACTGAACATTTAGTGACCCCTGAACATTTAGTGACCCACGAGCATGTGCCGTGCCCTGGACATCCTGGACAGCGGGCAGGCAATGGAAACACCACTCACATAATTCCTGCCCGCAAGAAGGTCACAGTCTAGCCAGAGACACAAACCAAAGATGAAAATTTCATAAAAGTAAAACTAATCACAAATTACAACACCATTGCAGGGCCGGGGATATAGCTCAGCAGCATAAGTGCTTGCCTGGTAAGCCTGAGGTCATGAGTTCGAGTCCCGGTACTCCCCCCAAAAAAAACAAAAACCATTGCAATATGTGTAAAGCTAAACCCCCAAACTCAGGTGTGCAAGAAATACTCAGTTCTTTATCTTCTCAAAAACAAAATTTTTAAAAAATTAAATTCTTCTCCAACCCTCGTTCTTCCAGGCTAGAAAGAAATTCAGTCTCCATCCTTACTGACATGGCACTCTGCCAGAGGATAAGGGGGAATCCAGGTACTCCAGCTGGACCACCGAGACCTCTGGCCACAGTGTCCAAGCCCTCAACACCCTCTGAAGTCCAGCAGCTCCCGCTTCAAGCCAACCAAGCGGTCTGGCCATCTTGCTGGAAGCTGGGATCCCCAGGCTAGGCACAGCCTCCCCAAGTCCACATCTGTCCATCTCCACAGCCAGCCACCTCCTGGGGCAGGAGAGTTCCCTGCCTTGACTGCACCAACCCACCTTCCCTCTGCAGCCTCCAAGAGCCCCCTTTTCCTGCCTCACTGTCACCCTGAAGCAGTGAGCACTCTCTCTACACTAAGCGTGTGCAAGTTTAGAGTCTCCAGGGGCCATCGGGCAGTGTCACCCACCAGTTAGGAGCCTGCCTTCTAGAGCCACACTACCTGGGTTCGAATTCTAGTGCTGTTGTTTGCTGTCTGTGATTCCTCAGGCCAGTCACACAGCCTGTCTGCACTTGCTGCCTTAACCATGAAAAAGAATGCTATTTGTCCCAGCAGGTGCAGCTTCACATGAGAAAGAACTTAGCACAGTGCCTGACACTAGCAGGTTTTCAGTAACAGCACCTGGGAGTGCCCGAACTTCTAACTGTTCAAGAACAGCCAAATATTCAAACTCTTATTATGAAACTGCTGGTAAGTAGGCGGGGGCAGCACGTGCAGGCCATGGTGTGAAGCATGAACTCTTGTTGAGGGGGCAGGGCAGTCATGAAGGGTTTCCAGCAAATAGGTATGACGCGGAAGGAGCCCTAGAAGAGTCAGGAAGCTGTTGGAACAGCCCAGGAGGGATGAGGTGGCTCAGGTTGGCCAGCGGCTTTGAGCATGGACAAACCCAGATTTCTCTGTCTGGAATCAGCCTCAAAGTCAAAGGCTGAGTTTGAATCTCAGAGCAGGTCAGGCAGTGGCTTGCCCATAACTGGGGCTCCTTTGCCCATCCTGAACACAGGCACAGGCTCAGGTGGGATGTGTTAGCTGGCCAAGGCTGCCCTCTGCTGGCAGGAGAGGGCACTAGCGCGAAGGGAATAGCTGCCTGCAGACACACACTCCAGAGAAAGACAGAAAGACACACCACCACCCTGCTCCTACCAGTGTTTCCCGAATCATCATCCTCTAGTTCTTTTCCAAAACTCAGAACGCTAGAGCTGGGCATGGCGGCTCATACCTGTAATCCCAGCACTCAGGAGGCTGAGCAGGAGGATCACAAATCAAGGCCATCTTGGACAACATAGTGAGACCCTGTCTCAGAAGGAAAAGAAGGAAGGAAGGAAGGAAGGAAGGAAGGAAGGAAGGAAGGAAGGAAGGAAGGAAGGAAGAAAGGAAGGAAAGAAGGAAGGAAGAAAAAATGGAACTCTGCCTTCATACTACCCCCTCCCCCATGCCCCATTAAGGAGTCTTTTTCATTCCATCTCCTAAATAGAATCCTAACTCAGAAAATTCCTAACCTTCTCTTGACCATGTCTCTGTCTCCACTTCTGCCTCCACTGCCCCCACCCTAGCCAAAGCCCTCACCAATTCTTCTTTCTTCTGTTTATTCACTGTTACTCTTCTCCTCATCGATCCATTTCCCCCTTGGCAGCCAGAGTTAAACGTAGCATCCTCTGGCTCCAGAATCCTTTCTCTCTAGCCTACAGCTTCTCTACCATTGAGCGTTAAACAAGAAGGGAAATCTCTCACGTGCAACCAGGTCTGCGCACATGGAAAACTGCCCTGAAGATGAGGGGACCCCACAGTGCTTGTGTCAGAGCCTCATGGAAGGGGGACTCGGTCTCCTCCACTGGGAACGTCCCCGTCTCTCGCGTGAAGTCCCAGCCTCACGCCATCTAACTGCTCCTCTCTCCCTGCCTCTTCCCCTTCTCTTCTGTCTCCTCCTACAAACTCCTGTTCCCTTCTGATGGAAAGCAGATTTGCCATTTCAGCCCTACCAGCCAGGAAACAGGGTGTCACATTCCCCCCGAGCAGAATGCGAAGGTATCTATATTCTACTACACATAAGCACAGTCCTGCCCCAGAAAAATATCAATGCCAGGACACTGCCACGTCCTCCAGGCACATGTGAGGCTCACTGTCTACACCTCCAACCTGTCATCAGCCCAACCCTTCACCTGTTGACCTTAGACCACAGAGATCCTCTCAGCCCCAGACAGATCTGTAGGGAAGCCCTGCTCACCCCAGGGGCCTCGGAGCCCGCACCCTGGAGGCTGCCCTGACCAACCTAGGCTGGGTGGCTCATGACCATGCCAGCTTCTGGGTTTTTGCGGCAAATCACTGTTAACTCAGTTCGTGGGGCCTGCCATGCCCATGCCAGGACACAGGACTGTGGTGAGAGCATAAAGAGGAGGCTGTGCACAGGTAAGAGCGAGGCAAGACGCAGGGAGGGCAGCGGGGCCTCACTTCACACTACACCGCGGCCCGCTCTCATTGCCTTTTCGTTCCTTCACCTCCTCCTTGGCGTCATTCAGGAGCCAGCGCATTCCCCCCCGCCAGCCCACAGTGCCTGAAACTGTGCTGACAGCCCTGGCAGCCCAGGTCTCTGACTCACCGCTGGAGGGGCCCGCACCCTTCCCTTGGTAAATCCAGTCCCTCCCAGCCCAACACAGAGCAAAGCAAATCTGAGGTGAAGCCTTTTAGAGATTCAGGAGTCTTTATTCTCTTTTCTGAATAGGGGAAGGATTCCTTACACTGGTAAGGACTAAGGGCAGACGGACGGATTCCTTACACCAGTGCTTTCTGGCAGACTCTCATCACTGCTGCCCAAGGGCCCCTGCTGCGTCTTCCTCCTGCACACAGCTTTTCGTCTTAACCCCCAGTTCCGTCCCTCTTGGACAGCCTTCTAATCTACTTGACACGGATTCACAGATTTTTGATACTTGTGAACATTCGAAAGAAGGTGTGTAAAGGCTATACTTTCAGGGATCATTTCTATAGTATGTTACTAGAGAGGTTCCTCTGATCATGTAGAGTACCAGAAGCAACAGAAATCTCAATGGAAACAAAGAATTACATCCACTTGGGAGAACGGTCTCCAAATCACCACAATTTCTAGTTTTGTAGGAGCATGGCTTGGGGCGTTTCCTGTTCCATTAGATGGGGAAAGACCGTGGCAGGTGTGACTCATCTCCTGTACACTTGGAGCAAACTTTGGCTACATGGCTGGCCTTGTTATTTCACCACTCTGGATATACTGGAATAGAAAGCAACTTATATACAAGAACAATTAACTGGAGCAAAGGGAAAAGATAATTCTTTGTGCAAATTCCATAAGGGCTGTGCAGAAATGTACATGGTCAACACCA